AATGGAGAAAGACAGTTTCTTAAACAAATGGTGTTGGGAAAATTGGAAAACCACATGCAGAATAATGAAACTGGACCATTTCCTCACACCAGACACAAAAGCAGACTCAGAATGGATGAAAGATCTATATGTGAAACAGGAATCCATCAAAATCCTTGAGGAGAACACAGGCAGCAACCTTTTTGACCATAGCCATAGCAACTTCTTCGAGACGCATCGCCAAAGGCAAGGGAAATAAGGGCAAAAATGAACTATTGGGACTTCATCTAGATTAAAAGCTTTTGCACAGCAGAGGAAACAGTCAAAACCAAAAGACAACCGGCAGAATGGGAGAAGATATTTACAAATGACTTATCAGATAAAGGGCTAGTACACAAAATCTATAAAGAACTTATCAAACTTAGCACCCAAAGAACAAATAACCCAATCAAGAAATGGGCAGAAGACATGAACAGACATTTCTGCAAAGAAGACATCCAAATGGCCAACAGACACAAGTCAGGAAATGACAGATGTTGGTGAGGATGTGGTGAAAGGGGAACCCTCCTACACTGTTGGTGGGAATGCAAGCTGGTATAGCCACTCTGGAAAACAGTATGGAGTTTCCTCAAAAAGTTGAAAATAGAGCTACCCTGTAACACAGCAACTGCACTACTGGGTATTTACCCCAAAGATACAAATGTAGGGATCCAAAAGGGAAGGTTCACCCCAATGTTTACAGCAGCAATGTCTATAATATCCAAACCACGGAAAGAGCCTAGGTGTCCACTGATAGATGAATGGATACACACACACACACACAATGAAATATTATGCAGATTTCAAAAATGAAATCTTGCCATTTGCAACAGCGTGGATGGAACTAGCTGGTATTACGTTAAACGAAATAAGTCAATCAGAGAAAGATAATTATCATATGATCTCATTGATATGTGGAATTTGAGAAACAAGAGAGAGGATCATAGGGGAAAAGAGGAAAAAATGAAACAAGATGAGGGGCGCCTGGGTGGCTCAGAGGGTTAAGCCTCTGCCTTCAGCTCAGGTCATGATCTCAGGGTCTTGGGATCGAGTCCCAAATCAGGCTCTCTGCTCAGCAGGGAGCCTGCTTCCTCCTCTCTCTCTGCCTGCCTCTCTGCCTACTTATGATCTCTGTCTGTCAAATAAATAAATAAAATCTTTAAAAAAAAAAAATGAAACAAGATGAAACCAGAGAGGGAAACAAACCATAAGAGATGCTTAATCTCAGGAAACAAACTGAGAGTTGCTGGAGGAGAGGGTGGGTGGGAGGGATGGGGTAGCTGGGTGATGGACATTGGGTAGGGTATGTGCTATGGTGAGTGCTGTGAATTGTGTAAAACTGATGAATCACAGACCTGTACCCCTGAAACAAATAATACGTTATATGTTAATTTTTTTTTTTTAAAGTGAAGTTCCTTAAGAACTACAGGGAAGAAAAGAAAACGAAGACAAAAATCAAATCAACAAATTCTAGTTCATGGGAAAGTTTGGAGTTTCCTTTGATTCCTGTTTACTCTTTTCAATTTTCTCCCAGTGGGATTGTACAATTTGAGTTAATAGAGAAATCGTGCAATAAATAACCTACATTCTTGGTTTTTGGTTTTCAAGCTTTCTTGCTAGAGAAACTAGAGGCCCATTCTGTAATAAGGGACTATTCTTGGCAGTTAGTCCAAGACTGCACAAAACAAACAAAACTACTAAAAGGATCAGGTCTCTCTCCCTGTTTAAATCACTAACACTGTTGAGGCTATGTCAATACGCTTGTTCTATAGCAAGGATACATGAGTACTTTTTCTTTTAATTCAGTCCACAATTAAAGTGGCAATCTGGCTGAATGGATTAAGCCCAAGGCTGGAAGCCAGAAGCTTTAAACATTAAATTCACCTCTGCTAATTACTTTCTGATCAACCCTGAGAATGTTCTACATCTCCCTCACAAAACAAAGTAGCAAATAGTTAAATAATTCTAAACCAGAATAAGATAATTAGCTAAACCAAAATTTGAAATAATAATTACAGAAATGAAGGCAAGAAAACACTGGTAGATTTGACATCAAAAATAAGCTTTTAAATCCTCATGACAGTTGCAACTGCATACTTACAAAATTTGATTTGCATTTATAGGAACAGAACAGGAACTAGGACTCATACTCTAAGTGGGCAAAATTTCTCTGGGGTCTTTCAGGGTTGGCATTCTAAAAAGGATGAGGTCAAGGAACAAGACGAACACAGAGATCTCTCCCTTTACACTCCTTCTGGCATGTAATACTTTTAGTCTGGCTTTCCAGCTTTCTCCTCTTATAGAAGTGGCTGCTCAGTAAGGAAGAGCAAAGAGATTTAGCTTAGAAGCCACTCAGTAACCAGAATCAAGTCATTATTAACATGGAGTTGAAGTCAGATATGAACTGTTTCGAGTAGGGGAAAAACAGTTAAGAATCATGCAAGTGGACTGAAGTGGACTGAAAGCTTGTGGGTTACCTATTCCTACTTTAAGCCAATTGTCATCAAATACCAGGCATTATACCACTGCAAACACATCCCCATTTTAAAATTAAGGAAACAAAGAAGAGGAGAGGTGGGTTACCAAGCTAGTAGCATCATTCTTATGCTAATCTTAAAAAGTCTGCATATAAATATTCTGGATCATCTGGAATATAGGTCCTAGACGATAAGCTTGTCATCAGTCATGCACTGCCATGATCAGAGACCTCATTTCTTGTTTATGCCGATGAAGTGAACTTCATGTGAAGATGAGAGGACACTGAAGCTAAGTGTTAGAATCCCAGCTATCCAACAGCAGAACGAGCCCCTCCAGAAAAGCCTTCTTGAACAGTTAGGCACATATACATATTGTTGGTAAGATGCACTGAACATACCAATTTGCAACACTTCACTAACAATAAATGTAGCTAGTATGAGTAAAGCCTAAACACATGCTCCCAATCCGAGCAGTAATTACTGGATAAGCCACTCATTTAAGGATTTCAGGAATGCTCCTGTATTAGTTTCCTTCCGCTGCCATACTTCAAATTTGATGGCTTAAAACAACAAAAATGTATTATCTTGTAGTTTTATATAAGTCTGACATGTCTCACTGGGCTAAAATCAAGGTTGGCAGCAAGCCTCTAAAAGAAAACATTTTTATTTTCTAACTTTTAGAGAGCCTGCATTTCTTGGCTCATGGCCCTTTTCCTCCATCTTCAAAGTCAACAACAGCCAGTTGCATCCTTCTCACACTTTATCACTCTGACCTCACTTCACTCTCAAATCTCCTTCTTAGTCTTGACTCCCTCTTTCACTTTTACGGACCACTGTGATTCTACTGGGACACCCAGAAAAAAAGAAGGAAAATCTCCCTATTCTAAGATCAGCTGATTAGCTACTTTAAATCCATCTATAACTTTAATTCCCCTTTGCCATGTAATGTAACATATTTGAAGATTCTAGGGATTAAAATGTCTTGTGGGAGGGGGGCATGATTCAGTCTACCACAGCTACTATGCTAGCCTTGTCCCAAGGCAAATAATGTACCTCAGCAGATTATCTAGCTGTTCCTCGTTAACACTGACATCCAAAGACTGCTCACTAACAAAGTTTAGGCTAATTTAATGTCTGATTATAATGAACTAGCAAACAAAGCCTCAGGGACATTAATGATTTTTTTTTTACTTTCAATATTATTCGAATCAAAACATAAATAAGGATGTCCTACTATTTAAATAACAATGATTTGGTTTTTGAAAAACAACATTATTTATCACATATTACAGATACTACTTTGAATTTCATTGACTTCATTGTATTATATTTAAATTGCGAATTTATCTTGGTTTCATAATTGTGTCAAAGCTCTAAGCATATGGAGTTTATTATACCTAACTTTTACTAAGTAAACTTAATATACTTAAGTATATACTTAATAAACAATATACTAAAAATAAATCAAAACCAGGGATCCATAAATTTATTTTTTCCCTAAAAGGAATTCATATAACTTTGTTTTGAGAAAGACTGGAGTACTGGAGTAAAGCACTAATAGCACAGCATTTGGAGTCAGATATGAACTCAACTACCAGCTCCTCAATACTGGCTCTTTGACCTTAGATACATTGCTGATACTCTTTAGATATGCAATTTCTTTATTTATAAATTGAAAACAATAATACCTACTCTATAGGTATCAGGAGGATAAAGTGAAATTGTATCTGTAAAATACTCAACACAGTTCCTAGCCATAAGCAGGTACTTAACAAGATTAATATTTATTTTACAAAACTCTATCCAAGCTTTAAGATGAAAAAGAAGACAATTTTCAGTGTTTAGCATATCACATTTTCTAACTAAATATTATACTACAACTTTAAATGATTTCAAAGAATACTGTTACATACTTAGTATCTACTTTTTCTAGGTCGAATCAATTTTAAATTATTTCTTTCAATATAATTAATCAGCTTTATCAATCTCTTCATATTACCTTTTAAGTTTGTAACTTGTCCTATCAAAAAAAAATTCACCTGCCTTCCTAAGAGCTTTGCTATCAGTAGTCACAGTAATTCGGGCAGTTTTGGAAGTAATATATGATGATGGATAATCTTAAACAGTTACATTTTATCTTTTCCTAAAACAAATCACTGTGATGCTAATGAAAAAAAGACTAGAAAAAAAATTATAAAATGAATTTAGGAATATCAAAGTCCAAAGTGCCCTTCAAAGTGAATACTAGAGTAGAGTCAACTTCCAAGGTGGCATTCATCACTTGAAAACAATACCAGTTTTGAAAAATGACTTTTGTTTATAAACTAAAAGTATACAAGAAAGGATTAATGGAGGCTAAATGAATTAATATTTGCTGAATGTAAATACTAAAAAAGATTTATACTTTCATAACAAGTTAACTAAAGATACACAATTTTTTCTAAATTCATAGGAAATATTTCAAGACAGTTTCTCTTTTGCATTTTCAGGTACATAAATACTTACAGTTTGATAATATGAGGATGACGAAAGAGTTTTAGGTTTTGAATTTCGCGTTTTATTTTTCCAACAACATCTAAACTGCGAATCTTCTGTCTATTTAAGATTTTAACTGCCACTTTATGGCCTGTCAATTGATGTTCTCCAACTAAAGAAAAGAAAAGGAAAAAAACTTGCTGTCATAGCAATGTAATCATTTATTCATTCCTCCTTCCACTGTAACCCCAAATCTCTCTACTCATATACACCACTTTCATATCATCTACTGCATAGAACTTAAGTTCTTTTTACTTCTGTTTCTTCTACTAAAGTATGCACTCCCTGAGGAAACAAACTGCATCTTGGTCTTCTCTATATCCTAGGTACCTAACAGGAGATGTTCATTAAATATTTGTTGAAAGGATTACTGAATTCTTTAACACTACAAAAAAATAACCAAGTTTGGAACATCTTTTGGATAGAGCAGAATTCACTATGTTTTATTAATCTCTTTATTTCTTCATTTCTGGTTAATGCTAGTCATTATATGATAGAAGAATAAATGACTGCTATAAGAAATTAAAAACTTATAACTGGTTTCATTATTTCTTTATCAGAAAATACACATGTAGCCCTTATTTTATGTATTTTTTGTCTTTTCCATAAAGCTTTCCTATTTCCTCCTACTTAATGGGGCCTCTACTTCTTTCAAACCCTTATAGCATGTTTACAAAGCTCATGTATCATTTATTATTTTTAGGCTATGGTAAACATTTGTGGTTTTAACAAATCATAAGACATGAGCTATGAACACATATCCATCCCCACCTTGAGTAAGGCAGTCAATATTCATTTGACTCCCAGAAGTACAAAGAACAGTATTTTGTACATAATATACGCTAAATAAATCTACATGGCATTAAATGAAAGAAACAATAGTCCTTCCCCTTTCATCAAACACATAGTATCCATACTACTAGTAATATCCAAATACTGCTCAGATGAAAAATCCCTCTATCGGAAAACAAATTTGTCAGCCTCCCCTCCTATTTCCCTCAATTACTATTCTAAACATTGACCATTCACCTCACAACACATAGTCAACCATCAACTCCTTATAGCAAATTCCCCTTTCATTTCTTCGGGGGCAACCAAGTCCATAGGAGTGATTTCCTCTATCTTAAAGGCTTGGTTATATCCACATTTCTCTTCGCTCCAGTCTTAGATGTTTTCACCCTTCTTCTGTTCAAGGCCAGTATCACCAACTTGTGGCCTTGAACTCACCTCTTCTACACTCTCCTGATACTCAACCATTTTCTTTTCTAATAGCTCCTTTTCCTTAGCCCATCAATATCCTGTCCATCTTCCTTTAGTTTTCAACATTTGTCTCACCATTTCTCAAAACAGTAGTGTACATTTATTGTCTGTGTCTCCTCCTCTTTCACCCTTCTAACATCACTGCTATCTGGCTTCTGCCTCCACTCCTCTAAACTGAAACCAAAGGTTCACAAAAGACCCTTTAATTATCAAGCCATGTATACCTCCCAATTCTCAGATCACTGCAATCTCTGTTGCAATAGACAACATTGATTACTCCCCCTTTTTGGTGGCACTTCTCACTCCAGTTTCTTCTACTAACTCTCAGATGGTATGCTTTATGGCTTTCACCTGTTCTTTAAAGTTTAGGGTCCCCAGGTTTCTAATCTATAACCAAAGTAGATCCTTAAGTTATCTAGCCCATCTCTCATAGTTGTAATTATCAACCCTGTGCCAAGGACTCTGCCCTTTTCTTCAAATTCATGTATCTCAGTATAGTATTGTTCCACAAACACCTCAAATTCAGCATGTTCAGAAGTAAACTCAGCATCCTCTTTCCCTTCCTCTACCAAACCTATGTCCTCTATTTTACTTGATGACACACAGCCTATATGCTAGAAATCAAAGAGACAGTTGACAATCTCTTAACTATTTCTTGGAGTCAAGTTTCAAAATCATTAAAACAAATACATTAATAACAATAATAGACGTGACAACAACACTTACTGCTTATTCTGTGCCAAGCATTATTCTAAGTACTAACTACTCTGCTCACTCAACCCCACAACTCTATCAAGTGTTACTGTCCTCCACTGTAGTAATGAGAAACCTGAGGCACAGAGAAGTAACTCAACAGAAGTGATGCAGTACAAGCTGGCACAACATGTGATCCCAAGTTTCCTCACTTCAGTTCACAGGAAGCATGGTTAACTACACATAATAATGCTCCCAGTGAGAACAATTCAAACATGAAATGGGCTGACCTAGGAAGAACTGAGTTTCTTGTCACTGAAGATTATTTTTACCTTTATAACTTTCTCAAGTAGTAAATTATCATCTCAAAAACTTTAGTGAAGCTTGAGAGTTATTTTACCTACATATAAAATAAACTGGCAGCCATCATATCAAGTTCAAGCAATCTATCCTAACATTCCAAAATATGTTTCTAGAACTCCAGAAAAATATCAATTTCAGGGACTTCCTTTTTCAGTTAATTTTTTAAATTCCAGTGCAATTAACATACAGTGTTATATCAATTTCAGGTGTAAAATATAGAATTCAACAATTCTAAACATTACTCAATGTTCATCAAGATAAGTGTATTCTTAATCGCCCTCATCTATTTCACCCAACTCCCCACTCTCCTCCCCTCTGGTAACAACCAGTTTGTTCTTTATATTTAACAGTCTATTTTGTTCTTTTTCTCTGTTCATTTGTTTATTAAATTCCACATATGAGTGAAAATCATATGGCATTTATCTTTCTCTGACTGACTTCACTTAGCATTGTATGCTCTAGATCCATCCATCTTGTTGCAAATGGCAAGATTTCATTCTTTTTTATGGCTGAATCAATTTCAGGGAATTTCTACTCAATTAAAATAACCTAAATGGTTTCTTGATCCCTGGGTAGTTTAGTACTCACCTTTGGGAATTTCATAAAACCCAAACACTTGCCTGCATGGCCTAAAAAATAGGTCTCTCTCCTCAAATCCCAGACAACCTCAATGAAAGTAACCAATGCTGCATCTCCTTGTCAATTAAAAAAAAAGGAAAAAAAAAAGAGTTCAATTCCTCTTTCCCCATTTGATAATTGAAACTACTGACTACTGAGAACATATATGCTCTTTCCAGAGCAAAGAGTGTAAGAGCAAAGACTGTAACAGTCAAACAGATGGATGTTTTGTTTTTTAATGCTATATGCATAAACCAAACAACAAAGAAACCAGGAAGTGAATGAAATTACTCAAAAAAAAAAAAAAATTTAAAGATGAAGTATTACTGGGGCACCTGGGTGGCTCAGTTGTTAAGCATCTGCCTTTGGCTCAGGTCATGATCCCAGGGTCCTGGGATCAAACCCCACATAGGGCTCCCTGCTCAGCGGGAAGCCTGCTTCTCTCTTTCTCCACACACTTGTGTTCCCTATCTTGCTCGCTGTCTCTGTCAAATAAATAAATAAAATCTTTAAAAAAGAAGATGAAGTATTACTTGGTCAATAAATTCAATAAAGCTGCAGTATACAAAGTCAATATACAAAAATCAGTTGTGTTTCCATACACTAAAAATGAATTATCAGAGAAATTAAGAAAACAATCTCACTTACAATTGTATCAAAAAAAAAAAAAAATACTTGGGGCGCCTGGGTGGCTCAGTGGGTTAAAGCCTCTACCTTCTGCTCAGGTCATGATCCCAGTGTCCTGGGATCGAGCCCTGCATAGGGCTCTCTGCTTGGCAGGGAGCCTGTTTCCTCCTCTCTCTCTGCCTGCCTCTCTGCCTACTTGTGATCTCTGTCAAATAAATAAATAAAATCTTAAAAAAAAAATACTTGATAAATGTAACCAAGGTGAAAGATCTATACACTGAAAAATTTAAGATACTGCTAAAAGAAGACATGATACATCACGCTCACAGACAGAAGAACCGATAATGTTAAAATGTCTCTACAGACAAAGCAACCTACAGATTCTACACAATCCCCACCAAAACTCTAATGGCATTTTTCACAGAAACAGAAGAAACAATCCTAAAGTTTATATGGAACCACAAAAGACCCCAAAAAGTCAAGGCAATCTTGAGAAAGAACAACAAAGTAAGGAGAATCACACTTCCAAACTTCAAACCATATTACAAAGCTATAGTAATCAAAATAGTCCAATACCAGCCTAAAAACAGACACACAGCTCAACAGAATAGGATTGAGAACCCAGAAATAAACCTATGCATATATGAGTCAATTAATTTACAATAAAGGAGTCAAGAACATAAAATAGGTAAAGGATAACCTCTTCAATAAATGCTGCTGAGAAAACTGGATAGCCACATATCAAAGAATGAAACTAGAACCCTATCTTACACATTACACACACATCAACTCAAAACAAAATAAGAAACCATAAAACTTCTAGAAGAAAACATAGGTGGTAAGATCCTCGATGTAAAGTCTTGACAATTTTTTTTTTAGATATGACAAAAAACAAAAAAAAACAAAAAAACAAGACAACAAAAGCAAAAAATAAACAAGTAGGACTACATCAAACTAAAAAAATTTTTGCACGGAAAAGGAAACAAAATGAAAAGGCAATCTACAGAATATGAGAAAATATCTGCAAATCATCTATCTGATAAGGGGTTAATATCCAAAATATATAAAGAACTCACACAACTAAATAGCAAAACAAAAACAAAAACAAACTGATTAAAAAATAGAGAAACTGTATAAACGTTTTTCCAAAGAAGACATACAAATGGCCAACAAATACATGAAAAGGTGCTCAACATCAATAATCACCAAGGAAATGCAAATCAAAAGCACAATGTAGTCACCTCACATCTGCTAGAATAGCTGTTACCAAAAAGACAAGAGGTAACTGTTGCCAAGGATGTGGGGGGGAAAAAGGGAACCCTTGTGCACTGATGGTGGGAATATAAATTGGTACAACCACTATAAAAAACAGTATGGAGATTCCTTAAAAATTTAAGAGAACTACCGTATGATCCAGCAATCCCATTTCTGAATATATATTTAAAAAAATGAAAACAGGATATCAGAGAAATACCCCCACTTCCATGTTCACTGCAGCAGTATTCACAACAGCCAAGACATAGAAACTACCTAGGTGTCTGTCAACAAATG